TTAGGGAGGTCTCTCATGACAACGTCGGTGACAATGGTATTGACAGTTCTTGGCTCCACTTTTCTTAAGGAATTTGGGTAGCATTCTCTAGCTCCTCATTAGTCACCTCGGATTGTGGCGATGCCATTTTCAGTAGGGAATTTCATACATCGGTGATGAATGGAGGTGACTGCCCATAGTTCCTTCAAAGTCGGTATCCCAAGTACTCCATGATAAACAGATCAATTATCGACCACCAGGAACTCCATGGAGTGTTGTGCCATTAGAGGTTCGGTCCCCATCTCTATTGCTAGAGTAATTTTACCTCTTGGAATGATAAGATATCCCATAAAGCCATATAAGGGGAAACTCATTGGAGTCAGCCCATGATCAACCTTCATTTTGTCGAAGAATGTTTAACTATGTAGCTTGTCATAGAAGGATCACTTGCTTCCCTAGCATAATTCCTTTGTGAATTTCTGGATTCTTCCCTAACATACGGGCCTCTAATGATCGTATCAATTTTTCTAATGGGCTCCTGGTCGTTGTTAGGTGGGGGACTTCGTCTTTGTCTTTGACCCTCTTTAGGCCTTTCAGTGTCATTTTCCCACTCTCTTAGAGGGTCATTCTAGTTGGACCGACCCTGTTCCTCGTTCCTCTACTGTGAATTTTATCTGTATGGAGCATTTTTTTGAGGGCGTCTTCCTCTTTCCTGATTCTGGTTTCGGGAATATCTCATGACATCTCAGCAGCTCTCCATGCGATGGCCATAGGACTGATGGTACGTGCAATAATTGGGCGCTTCTCCCTATTTCTAAGTTCAGCACCTCGTTCCCTACCTCGTCCCCTTGATGGGAGCCCCAGGTAAGGATGATGCTGATGCATTTCAGCACCAGGATTGACCTTCTCATAAGCTAAGGTTGGTACGGCATTTAGTGTTAATGCGGCAAGCTCTTGTCCATGATTTAGTGGTGCCTGATGATCCATCAAATGGGAAGTAGGACATCTTCCCCTTTGCATCTAGGGAGGCGATAGACCCTGGCTGGCACTGTTCCTATGATCTATCAATTCTTCATTGAGGATTTTACGCCTTATCATTTCTAATAAGGCATCATAGGTGCTTAGGTCCTTGTTCTGCACTTCCCTCCAAAAGAGGGAATTCATGTCCAATCATCCTCGCAAAGTAGTCAGTGCTTCCCTATCTGTGACTTGTACACAATAGGTCATTTCATCGGTGAAACGAGATAAGAAACCTTTTAGTAACTCACCATGTGGTTATCGCATATCTTGCAATCGCTGAATGGGCCTTTCTTCTTCTTTGCTTATTGCAAAGGGCTTCAAGAAAGTTTTCTTAAGGTCAAGCCAGCTTCGAATGCCTCCTTTCGACAATCTTGTATACCAGATTTCCGCTCCTCCACTTAAGGTTAAGTGAAAGGATCTGCACTTCATAGTTAGCGTGGCCCCCTTCAGATTCATATGAGTTTTGAAACTGTTAATGTGCTTCGCTGGGTCACCTCTCCCATCATACTTGGAGATTTTGGAGAGAGTGAAGTGGTTCAGCATGGAGGCATTCCATATGGCATCTGAGAAGGGTGAATGATCATCATCGTCCTCAAGGTCGTAAGATCTCTAAGGCTTATCTGAGTCTTCATCTTCCCCTTGGTGGGTCTAAAGAGGTGGTTGAGACGGTCCTATTTCATTCCTAGCCGGTCCCTCCTCTCACGCCTATTTCTAGGGGAGCGGACCTGAGGCTCTTCTTGATGAATTGGTTGATGTCCAGATTGGCGAGGCACCTATTTCCTATTCCTAGGCACTGGAGAAAGAGGATAAGCTTGTCTATTTCTAGGCACTTGGGACGAGTGATCTTGCCTATTTCTAGGCAGCCCTGAGCCTATCCTATCGAAGACACTGGCCAACCTCTGAGGCCTATTTTCTGGCTCATAGTTCGGAAGAAAATTGAATGGTACTTCTTACTACCTTTCTGAAAAATAGTTGGTTGATGTATCCACCTCGATTTCTCTCTCCTGTGGAGCTTCCATCCTGGTATGAGTGTGTCTTGCGGCTTGGCTTCGGACTTCTTCCTCCTCTTGATAATATCCTTGAGAATCTGGGAGTGTGTCCTCGAGGGCTACATGTGGAGGGACATGATATCTCCATCGTCCCTACATGTTCATCAACATCTCTTGCGTGGCCAAGTTCTGCTGGGTTATGTTTATCATATTGGCCGCTATTGTAGCAATTTCTCTAATGAGCCTAGCTGCAACCCTTTCTCCACCTCTGGATCCTCCCGTCTTCATACTGGAAGTCGTGGGCGAGCAGTTGGGGCAGCTTGTGAGGGTTCCCATTCCTCAGGGTATTCCCTTGTCCTTCTAGGTGCACTTTCATCAGTTGAAATCATCTTTCACAAACATACTTAGTGTGGGACATTCCCTTTCTTCAAGGGTTTTTAGGTTTCTAATAGCCCCTTTTTCAGGGATACTCCTTTTTCAAGGGTTAGAATTATTTCAGCCAGCTTTCCAACCGTTGCCTAGCCTTTCCTCAACGTGTTTTCGTGGTTAACCGTATGGTTTCCCACAGACGGCGCCAATCTATTGAACCCCTAAAAATGAATCAACAGATGCCAGACCCAAGTCAAGTACGATTCCGACGCGTTCCTACCCGAATGATGACTGCATAAATGGAGAAATGAACGCGGGAGGTACTTTGCGGCGAGAGACAATTTTTCGAGCTTCGACGGGTAGAACGAAAGCAATCACACTAACCATGATTACCGAGTTGAAACCAAACTAATCTATGTAATAACAGATAAAAATATGTGGAAGGATATATTACATGTTAATATGTTTCATTCAAGAGTTTAAATGTATATTTCCAATATATTATCTTCTCCCTTTCTATTTTTTTCATCCCTATTTTAATTACAAAGATGACATATTTATACTGCATTGGTTGACGTTGTGTCCGTTGGATTAGGACCATGTGGCCTAATCTCTCAAATTGGGGCATCACGTCACTGTCTATTCATACGATTAATACATTGATACTGACACACCATCAACTTTATTGCAAGTGTTACATCACTCACTTCTAGTAGATCTTTAAATCTATTACAAAAGACAGTGCCGGCTTCATGAGCTTTGGATGAGTTGGAGAGAGCCTCGGAGAGATCTGAGCTTGGTCTTTGAAGAAGCGCCTCAGGCTGGGCTTCATCGTGCTATGTGGACTTCGGACGTTGTATGAGGACCTCGGCCTAGTTGTCTTCTTGGTGTGTTTGACCTACTGGGTCTTCTTTTGACTTCTTGTTGACTGTTTGCCCACGTGTTGTGCCATATGGCCTCGTTTCACTTGGCCTCAGAGGTGAGAAGTAACAGCTACAAATTTCATCCTATGTATTCATGAAAATAATATAGCCATAGAAAATGTGAAAATGAAATAAATAGATTTACTTTTAATATCCGCAAGAATACGAAATCGTTGTACAAGTAATAAGATTTGTAAATTAAGAGTATCGTTCCCACGAGGAGTAAGGTCTAATTTATAGTTCAATAGCTACTATTAAATTTGAAGTATGGTAATATCAAAAAGAGATGATTTGTATGTAATCTATATTAATCCTAAACTAACAAAACAAATGAAGTATTTATTTATTATGTAAATATTTGTATTGGAATCGTGAATCCCCCTATTGCCATTTAATTCAATTCTTAATTCGCAATCTAGTAAATTCAGGAATTCAAGACAATCGATAATCCACTGTTATTCAATATTCTTTTCCAAAATATATTAAACATATGTTTAACATGACCCGATCCTATTTCTAGTCCGAATTCATATGAAAAACATGCATTGATTCACAGGATTTATCACACATGATTGCACATTTCATCGATATTATTCCTAATATCTATTGTCCATGTGTTGATTTTGCCGCGTTCTAGACTTATTGTGAGTATTTATACACTACAAAAAGTAACTAACTATCTAATTGGTGATCAAACAATTAAATAGATCAATGAGAATGCAAAATCAGTCAAGAAAAATCAAGAAATACTAAACTAATTGTCTTGAATTAAAATAAACAAACAATAGGGTTCATCATTCATCCAATACAATGAAAAACTTAGTCTAACAGTCTTATAATTAAATTATACAAGAATAATTAGAAAAACATCACCCGAAAATAAGAAAAATGTAAGAAGTAGGAAAAATCCACGTTTGTGGCTCAAATATTGAAATCGGGCTATGAATCTTCAAAATCCTTGTATGATTCGCCTTGAATTCTTGTGCTAGCCTCTTTCTTTTGGTGAAAATTAGGATTTAATAAGCTATGAGTCGTTCACACGTTCATTACCCTTTGAAAGTAGGTTAAATTTGGTTTTTAAAGGAATTTGGATAAAACAGGAAATTTGGGCCGTTCAGGCCCAGAAATAGCCTGTGCGCGCCGTATAATCCCTTGCACACGCGATGTTATAGAATTTTGGGCTCGGTGAATAAACCTCATGCCCGTGTGCGCGCGAGATAATTTGCCCGTGCACGCGTGCAAGCATAAAATCTTTCAATTGTTGCACTTTGGACCTCGAATTTCATTCCTTATATATTTTGGTTCCTTCTTTGTATTTTCTTGACCCTCCATCTTCCAACTCCGTCTAATTGACTCCAGCATCTCTCCAATCATCGATACTAGGTCCGAATCATCTATTATCATTTTGCGATTTATTCCCCAAACTTTGGATGAGGTCCACTTTAGCCAATTTTATGCCTCTTTTCTTCAATTCTATGAATTTTCATCAAAATGCACATAACAAACAAAATATATACAAAATTAAGCATCCATTCATTTAAAATAACAATAATTGGTTTAATTTAATGGTACAGATAAGTGTATAAAAATACACTTATCATGAGTTCCAAGAATCATTTGTACATTGCTTGATTTGAAATTCCAACTCGAAATCTAAATGCTACGCGAAAGAAAAACAACCTAGCAAGTATAAATAAATAAAAATAAATCCTTACGTGCTTCAGGTCATTTGGTCATTGCCACTTGTCTTAGTCTTGGGATATATACTCGTATCATGACCTGATTCTTTGCATAATGCATATTTATGCTTTTTTTTTTGTACCAACTCAATAATTGATTTGAACCTTCCTGAAACAACATGGTCTTTTCCTTTGCCTTTCTCATTCTTCTTCCATCCTTTTGTGATTGAAACATTGGGATCCAATAGCGCAAATTGAGATCTCTTCTCATTACAACTATCTAACAGATTTGGTGAAGTTTCAACATGATACTTTGTTCCAATATTGACTCTGTAAATCTGCTCACATATTTCTTCAATCGCTTTGATATATAATTGGTACCCTTCATTCGATTCAACGGCATGACAAGCTTTTTGCATATTTTCTTAAACAACTAATACAATTTTTATAATTCCTAAATAATTAATACATATTAGGGCATAAAGAGCATCTCCTGAATACATATTTTCATAACTTTAAGGCACTTGTACACTAAAATGGTGGAGGTGTAGATCCGCTAATAAATTCCCCGCCCCGTTACCCGTTTAAGTATGGGCGGGGTCCTTGCCCCGTTTACTACCCTTTTAATTTTTTATTATTTTTTTTTTTTGATAATTTATTTTTATTGTCATATTCATTAGATTTAGACAAATAATTTTAGTTGCTATTTTCTATTAGAACTAATGAAATTTCGTGAAATTTTTCATTTAAAGTATTGAATTCTAAAAAACTATTAAAAAAAATTTTAACGGGGTGGGGGGCACGTTACCCGTCACCGCCACGAACCCGCCCCGGGGCAAAATTCTCCACCCCGTCCCTACCCCGAATACCCGATTAAGACGGTTATCTCCACCCTGTTCAGGACAAGCCCCGCGAGTATCGGGTTTGTCAGATTTTTTTGTCATCCCTACCCTTAAGATTACAATAGCGTTGACTAACTAATACATATTTTCTTAAACAAATGTTAGCATGCTTAAATTTTAAAGTATTTGCTGTTGAACTAAACAATACCATTTCATTAACCATTTTACTGACACTTTCAAACAAATTATCAATTGAAACGAATAAATTAAAGGCTAATCGCTTACATTATAGTGGAATGATAGAATAAACACCACATATTTTTGTTGAGGATTGAAAATGTAGGAATATTTACACAGGAACTAGGCAACAAGCTTTCAATATAGTAACGAAATTGTTGGGTTTAATCCACCTAAATCATGCACAAACGGGAAAAACCACACTCAAGAACACACGCTGCAAAAATGAAAATAATACAAAAAATGTTAACCCAGTTAGGCCATAATCTGGGTGGCTCAGCTACCAGCTCATTCCACTAGTGCACCAAGAAAACCTTCCAGAGTGATATTTTACAAGTGGAACCAAATATCAGACCATTAACTAAGTTCTAGTCGTAGATCGAGCTAATGATCTCTTAGAACTTCAATAGAAAAAACTCAAACCATATCGCATAAATCACTAGAATAGCTACCAATAAAATCAGCTAAAATACAGACTCAAGCCACTGTTATCATATGCGAAAGGACACCGGAATTATACAAGAATAACCCCTTAACTTATGGAAAAAAAAGAATCACGCCGAGAGCAAAACGAGAGCACTTCTTTTCCAGAAAAGAACTAGATGCAGAATGAATAATGAATCCTAATAGTCACAGCCAAACACGTAAAATAAGGCTCGAAAGAGTTACAGCCATTGATTAAATCAAACGGCTCACAAACCATCTGAAGAAGCACGATCCGAGTAAAAACAATCCAGCCAATTGGAAATGGCCACGTGGACACAACTTAAAGAGTTGTAATTTTGGAAACATGTTTTTAACTTTCAGTCTTCACCTTAGTTCCAAAAATGCAAACTCACTACAGTATGCTTAAATGGTGCACTAATATGTAGAAGGGTTCAACATATCGCCCGGGTACCTATAAAAGATTAACCAGTATCAATATGCAGTAAAGATAAACAGATTCGAAACTTATTTAAAGGTAGAATTTTGGTTCCCATATCGGATGGATTTACATCAGTATGAATTTTTTCAAGTATAATCTCACCACATGCAATTTTCTCACGTAAAAAATGGTATTTCACCTCAATATGCTTGGATCTTTCATGATACGTAAGATTTTTGCATAATAGTGAAGCACTTTGACTATCAGTGAAAATTGTAGGTGCTATGTAAAAAATTCAACTATCCCAAAATTCTCTTTAACCAGATACATTCTTTTACAAATTCAGTTATTGTCACATATTCAGCCTCTATACTGGATAATGTGACAATAGGTTGAAGTTGTGACTTCCAAGTGATACAATTATCACCAAGTATAAAGAAACATGCCGTAGTGGACTTTCTTTGATCTTTTTCCTCAGCGAAATCAGAGTATACATACCCTTTCAATGTTAATGAATCAAATCCCCTCTTAAACGCCAAACCTACTCTATGTGTTCCAACTATATATCTCAATAACCACTTTAATCCAGTCCAATGAGGTTCCCCGAATTAGACATAAACCCACTTAGAAAACTAATTGATTATGCCAAATCAGGCCTAGTTGTAACCATAGAAAACATGACAGATCCTATGGTATTAGCATATGAAATGTTCTTCATATCTTTAAATTTAGATTCAGTTTTAGGACATTAGGCTGAAGAGAGGTTCATGTGGGCAGCAAGGGGAACATTCAGAGACTTAGCTTTTATCATGCCAAATTTGGTTATAACTTTATTTAAGTATGTTTTTTGAGATATAATCAATATATTATATTTCATGTTCCTGTTAATAACCATCTCCAGAATTTTCTTGGCATTCCCTAAGTCTTTCATATCAAATTCAGATTTCAGGAGATTCTTAAACTTTAATATCTCAGTTTTGCTAGAGTTAGCTAGTAACATATCATCTACATATAGAAGTAGATACGCCTCATTGCCAGCTTTAGTATTGTTATAGTACAAGTAATGATCATATTCACTTTTTCTAAAACCAATTTTCAGTACATATGTGTCACCTTATGTACCACTATTTAGGACTTTGTTTAAGTCTTCACAGAAATTTTTGCAACTTGCACACAAAGTCAAATTTTCCTTTTTCCTCAAAACCATGGGGTTGACTCATATAAATGTCCTCTTCAAGCTCTCCGTGTAAGAAAGTAGTCTTGACATCTAATTGTTCAAGTTCCCAATTGAATTGATCAACTAGTGCAAGAATCAATCTTATTGTTTTGTATTTGATTATAGGAGAGAAGATTTCATTATAATCAACAACTTTCCTTTGAGTAAAACCATTGACCACAAGTCTTGCCTTATATCTCAAAGGATCAGTAGAATTAATTCCTTCATTGACTTTGAAAATCCATTTACATTGAACAACTCTCTGAGATTCAGGTTTCTTTACAAATTTTCATGTTTTATTATCTAGTAAGGATTTCACTTCCTCCTTCATAGCCTCTTTCCATTTATCAGAATCAAAACTATTCATAGCTTCTTCATAAGATGAAGGTTCTGAATGTTCTAAAAATTCACCAGAGATAAGAGCAAAGTCAGTCAAATTATTTATTTCATATCTTGGATTTGGTCTGACTTGTCTTATTTCCCTATCTCCGACCAATTGATAATCTTGAATACTAGTTTCATTTGTGGGGATATTTGTGTTCTCAATTTCAGTTTCAACCACAACTTGAGGTACGTCTACTCCACCTCCTTCCGTGTTAACAATATTTTCATCAGATTGTTCAACATCAACTTCATCATTTTCAGGTTGAGTATGACTGATTCTAGCTAACTTCACCTTAAACTGTGAAGTATTCTCTTTAATTTTCTCTTTAGGATTATCAATTTTATTTTTCAAACATGGCATTTCGGACTCATTAAATACCACATTTCTGCTATTAATGATCTTAATGCCTTGCACACCTATCACCTACAACCTGTACCCTTTCACCCCTTTCGGGTACCCAAGCATAACACATTTAGTGGCTCTAGGATCTAACTTTCCCTCAATTTGATGTGCATATGCCGCACATCCAAATACATTAATGTGAGAAAGGTTTGGGGGCTTCCCAGTCCAAAGTTCATGTGGAGTCTTAAACTCAATAGAACTACATGGAGATCTATTTATAAAATAAGCAGTTGTAGCCACAGCCTCAGCCTAAAAACCTTTAGCTAATCCAGAACTAATGAGCATACACATAACCTTATTCATTAGAGTTCTATTCATTCTTTTAGCGAAAACCCCGTTCTGTTGAGGTGTGTGTTTAACAATTCCATGTCTTACAATCCCCATTTGTTTACAGAAGTTATCAAACTCAACATTACAAAATTCCAAACCATTATCAGTCCTTAGAGTTTTTAACTTATTATCAAGTTGGTTTTCTACCATCTTCAACCATGTTCTAAATTTTGAAATGTCTAAAATTTATTTTTCAATGGATAAGTCCATACCTTTCTTGAGTAGTCATCAACTATAGAAAGGAAGTACTTATTGCCTCCAAATGTGGGGTGACTTTTCGGTCCCCATAAATCTGAGTGGACATAATCTAGGGGCCTAGAGGTGATATGTAACCCAGTCTCAAAGCTCACCCTATGTGATTTTCCCAACACACATGCTTCACAACATTCAAGGGGTTCAATCATATTTTTCCCAAGTAGTTTTTGTTTACTTAAATACTTCAATCCCTTATTTCCTATATGTCCCATTCTGTTATGCCATAATTATGGTTAAAGATTTTGCATCTTGAGGAGTAACAGTCTCTCCCATAAGATAGTACAATCCATTTCTTTTAGGTACCCTGAGAATTACCAAAGATCCATTCATCACTTTCAAAATGTTATTATCTGACTTGAAAGAATGTCTCTCATCTTCAAGAATTTCTAATGAGATGAGATTTCTTTTAAGGTTTGGGACATACCATACATTCTTTAATTGTCTGACAATACCATCATACATTCTAATGGTAATATCACCAATATCAAGAACACTTTGAGAGTTATTATCACCCATATACACTTACCTGGGTTCAACTTCTTTGTAATTATTAAACCATGACCTATTAGGACACATATGGAATGTACACCCTAAATCCAGGATCCAGTCCTTATCAACTTCTTCATCTGACACGGTCATTACAAGTAGGCTATCTAATTCAGAACATACGGCTGAATTATTCAATTCATCATTATTGTGATCCTTATGCTTATTCTTCCATTCAAAGCAGTCTCTCTTAAAATGACCTAATTTTCTACAATGGTAACACTTCTTATTATTTTTATCTCTTGATTTAGATCTAGTTTTAGATTTGGATTTGAATTTCCTGTTGTTGAAATTATTTTCCTTCTTCTCAGTCCTCCCTCTCAAAAACATGCTCTCATCTC